TGAGTTCCTCCATCATTAACTAAGTAGGATCTATATATTGAATTACCGTTATACTCTAGTAAATTAGAGAGAGTATCAGTAATAATTCCATTTCTGATATGACCTATATGTAGAGGTCCTGTAGGATTTGCAGAAACAATCTCAATGAAATACTTTTTGCCTGCATTTTCAGTGTTGTTAGCTTCTGAAATTATTTTTGATTGAGAAAGTGATTTTAGGTAGAAATGCTTGATTACTGCAGGAGAAATGAAAAAATTAATATAACCTTTCGTAACTTCCATTCGAGAGATATATTCATGTTTAGGAAGCTTTTGAGATAATATTCTCTCACTTTCTTCTAAAGACTTTTGATAAAGTGATGAGAGGAGAAAAGGAAGATTAGTGTTTAGGAAGCCGTATTTGGGATGTCTAGATTCTTCTAATACTATCTTGTCTTTAAGAAGAGTAAATTGACTTTCCATTACTACTTCTTTTAAGAAAGCAGTTAACTGTTCTTTCAGTTCTAATATCATATTTAGATTTTTAAGTTCTGGTTTTTAAATGTAGATTTCTTTGGACTTTCTCTTAATTAAATTTATCCAAATAAATTAGATTCTTTTAGTAACTATATAACTATCTAATATATAAGTAGAGAAATCGGGACTTCTTTAGAGTTCCCTTAATTAGTTGGATGCGTAGTTTAATGGTAAAACAATAGACTCCAAATCTATCGAGTGTGGGTTCGATTCCTTCCGCATCCGCCAGTAAAAATTAAAGTAGTTTTTAATCTAAGAAGCAATAGTTCAACTTATTTAAAATTTAAGGTTTTCAAAAGCGGAGAAAGTTAAGTTAATTGAGTACATTTTGATCAGAAATTCAGAGTTGAAAGATTTTACCACTTTTGGCTTTTTTCCTTCTCCCATTTTTCAGTTTGTCTTTCTTAAGCGGGGAGAAAAAATTCGATTGGTCTAAACCTAGAGGAGTAGTCTCTCATGTGAAATTGTTTATACAAAATGAAAATGGAGCTGTCGCCTCACCAGCTGCTGCTAGCATTTCACTAAGTAGTGCTGCAGGGGGGGGCAATCTGGAAAGAAAAAATTTCGTATTGCAACAAGTTTCGACTGGGGCAAATGGGTCTCCTAATACTTCTTCTAAGTTAGCTTTAGTAGCAAAATTTCCATTGATTTCCATAGATAATTCGTCTACTTGAGAGTATTGCATTCCTGAAGCTTCTCCCCTGAAAAGTATGTCGACTGTTGTTACTCAGTCTCAGTTTGGAGGAACACTTTCATCTAGCGAGGAGAATTGTGAGTTAAAGACTTGAAGTTATGAAACTGGAAGCGAAAAAACTGAAAAAAATGGAAATAGTGAAACTATTAAATACCTTTTGGAGTTAATTTCTAAATTTATTAGA